GTGTGTGTGTGTGTGTGTGTGTGTGTGTGTGTGTGTGTGCGTGTGTGCGTGTGTGCGTGTGTGTGACATCTATCCTGGGGAACGGAAATGACCAGTCAGGATAGAAGTATCCTGCTGAAATTCGTATAATGGGATTCCAGCTATCTCCCACATATGTCACAACTTCTGCTTGAGGGGACAATTAGTGAAGAGAGAAAGAAGAAAAAGAAGGCTCAGAGTAGAAGGGGTTTGCTTCAAAAATAGAACAGAACGGGATGACATTACTTCCCAGTTTCTGACAGTGAGAGCAAGATTCCGAGGCCCTGGAGTTGTTACTCCATTTCACAGTGGATGGTTGTGAAGAGACAGGGTATATGAAAACACAAACCAGACAAGAAATATCCGGCAATTATACTCATGAACATTGACAGTGTGAACAGAACATAGAAGAATTTTCTTTTTGACTTGTAACTTTTTTTGGTCAGTATTAAGAGGAATTTTCCAATAAAAAATGAATTCTATTTTATTGCTGTTTTCAAAGAAAGAATATTTTGTGAAATCTCCTTGTAGGTTGCTAAGGATACATCAAGAACATTTATATAGTTGAAGCTATCTAGGGACAAAGAAAAAATATCGGTTTATCTGGAATATCTAGAGTGCCTGGGAAGGGAAGAAAGGTGAGAGAGAAAACCAAGCTTAACTTCAGTAGCTATTTCAGTCAATCAATATTTTCTCAGTAACATCCGTGATTACAGCATAAAAGACCTAGAAGATGTCTCAATGAAATCCACTCATCTTTGTATTTGAAGTTGTAAGTTCTTTCCTTTCTCTATCTTGCTTTTCATAACAACGTACTTCACTGAATAAAAGGAAGCAAAATTCATATAGATATAATAAACATGAAACGGGACTTACGGACACTGAAGTGTTCACAGCCTGTCAACTTATCAATAGCTTTGCAAGCTTCCTCTGTCTTTAGCATTTCCTCTTGTCTTCTCTTACTTTCTGGATCATCATTTAAAATCTTGTTCCTCAACCAGGTCAAATGATACACCCGAAGTCTGTTCTTACGGCCTGATAGGTAAGAAAAGATACAGTACTTCAATTCAGTCTATGTTTCATATATTAGAAGAACAAAAGAGTAAAAGGTGTTTTACCTTTTTAACCAAATGTTTGCATTAAAGTAAAAAATCATTGTTAAAATATACATTGCATCAATGTCTTCCCTTCTGTTTGGAAATGTGATAGCAAAGAGAAAGTCACTTTTTATCTACCAGCACCCTATATGCCTGTCAATTGTGGGTATAGTATGCTCCTTTGGGGCAGGTTAATATTGCCACTGTACGGACAACAGAATTACCATCCATTCATTTGTACCTTGGCTTTTGTCTAAGTTATGAATGCCCAGGTAGTGTCAATACTTCCGTATGTGTGAGAGGGGTATGTGACTGTTTGGGCATTCAGAGCCAGTGGGATGGGGCACTTCTGTTCTGCCATTCCAGCGTGCTTAAAAAATAATTGAACAGTTTTATTATTTTTTCATAATCCAATTTGCCTTTAATGCTAATTTTAAATTGTAAATCCTATCACATTTTACAATTTATTTAAGAAAAACAAACCACTGAGATTACATTTTTATATTCATTTTAAAAGTCATTTTTAGGGTTTAGTTTTATAAGATTTCTAGCAACAACAGTAGGATTCTTACTCGTGATTAATCTTTAATATGTTTTTATATAACGTTTTGAAACAGTGTTAGGGTTCAGACATCTATGTCTATTGTCATTCTTTTCTAAAATGTTAAAATAAATCTAGCCTTTAAACTACGGGGTATCTTTCTAGACTGATCTTCTCAGTACAATTTGATGCAAATATAATCCACATTTGAGAGAAATTCAAACATTAAATGTCAAATTTGGGTTAGAGAAAGCTAAGCCACCCAGATGTTTTAAAAAACTAAATGTTGCTCTTGTGTACCTCAAACAATTTAAATGAGTGACAACAAAAGATGACCAACAAATCATGAAGTCTGAGAATACCTATAGAGGGTGTTCTCTAATAAAAAAGGAAAGTTTATCATATTTAGGAATATACATTATCATGTGCCACATGGCTATTAGATATAGACAGAGACTACATAAACTCACATAAATGTCTGTGATTAGCATCATTTGATTCTGTTGTTTTTTTTAGTTTTCTTCTCCTTTTGTTACTCATCTTTTATCTTTAATCAGTTTTAGCATTTTCCTGATATCAACTACTGTTTAGTAATCACTATCATTATTAATACTCATTTACTTGCACTCTCATTGACTCGACGACAATGGGTCTTATATTCAAGGGTCCAGGTTCTGACAACCCAGAACCAAAAGTTCAACTAGGATGTGAGAAGAGTGCAGAGGATTTTAGGGCTCCATTTTTGCTTCTAATCCTATCTCCAGGCTCTTGTGATAACGCTGTGCTAGGGACAACAGAGTCACCTTCTTATCCAATTATTGTCCACTTTGTTCTTTGTTGCTTCTAATACATCACAAGGAATGTATATGTGATTGTTGGTGGTGAGTCGTGTGTGCATGGGTGGGTGAGCATTTGACCTGTGAAGTTGTAGGAAGTTACTTAGGAAACAACCTTCAAGGATGCAAATGGTGTCATTTTTCTTATCCCTGACCTTGGCCAGGTGCATTACAGTCAAATATCCAGGCATCAAAGGTGATTCAGGCTTACTGAGGATGAACACCTGAAACTATTGCCCTGAAATAAGTAAACTTTAAATGGAAAATATCCCCTGAAGTTCTTTAAACCAAACAATAGGTTAGCTTAATTAGTAAAGGTCTGCCTTCAGCAGAGTGCTCTTTTAAAGAACTAACTATATGGAGTCAAATTGACAACAGCAACTTGAAAGGTTAGATAGGAAGCTTGAGGGGTAGTGAGTGTATGTTAATGGGGAAAGAACAATTTGGAAAAGGAGGGTGAGAATGGTTACACAACTTGAACAATGTCATCAGTGTCACTGAATTGTGCATGTAGAAACTGTTGATTGGGGTATGTTCTGCTGCGTATATTTTCAACAATAACAAGAAAAATAAAATAAATTATTTTTTTAAAAAGGCAATTCAGTTTTAACATACCTTAGAAGTTAGTTTAAATTGTAAATAGATAAGAAAAATATAAATAGCCAAGTCTGGAGTCCCAATTAAAGGTTATATTTAAAGCATTCTCCTATGAACACTTTGACCTGAGAAAATCTTTAACCCAGTTTGCAACCTAATTAATCTGCATAATTGCTCAGTTAATTTTAGTTCTTAAACAAACCGGAGATGGTAATCAGCAAATTGAGTGGCTCTACGACTTGAATCTGACGGAATGGTCTTCGCTTTATGAGTTTAGTAATGTCTGCCTTTCCACTTCTGTCCATCAGATACAGATTCGATCGGGTTCCCAACAGCAAATTCACTCCTGTTTGTATTAAAAAAAAAAAAAGCTATATTAACTCAGATCATTTTTTAGAATTGCATTTATGTTAGTATTTTTGCTGTTGCAGTGTGCTACTCGAAAGGGGACTTTTAGACTAATGTTAACCTCACTCTGTGTAACTGTGAACTCTCTACCGACAGAAGAAATATCATTCAAATACATTAAAATATAGAAGCTAATATCCTCTAGCAATATTCTACTGGCTGGTGTCTCATGCACTATCCCACAAATAGAACTTTATGTATATCTCAGCACTCTTTACTAGTGTCCCAAACTTTATCAAAATCAATCAACCCTTTTGAAAGTCACCTCTAAGCCGTAAAGCTGTCTAGCACAAAGATTTCCATTCTGTTGATTTCTCATTCCTAACTATAGCTAAGGGTTTTAATGCTTTTAAAATAATTATATGTAAAATAATCATTTTTAAATTAAGTGATTTATATGTTCATCCATACACTGAAAAAAAAAAACTGTTATATTGCTAAATTTCCATGAAATTAGTTCCTACATTCATGTATATGTGTTCCTACACTCTTATTTGTCAGCTGGTTCTATTTCCTCAAATAAAAGCACTGTTTAAAGACCAAATGAGAGGACTGAAATAAAAGATAAAACTAAAGATAAAATATACTTCAAACCACTGTGGATTTTTCCCCATAAACTGAAACACAGGAGACAATAAGCCACGGTACTATAACAGGAGAACAATTCAGTGTCTTCCTTCCATTTGGAGCATATTTGGGCTCCATGGGTAAAAGGGGCCCTGGTGGCATAGTGGTTAAGAGTTCAGCTGTTAACCAAAAGGCTGGCAGTTCAAATCCACCAGCCTCTCCTTGGAAACCCTATGGGGCAGTTCTACTCTGTCCTCTAGGGTCGCTATGACCGCAATGGGTTTGGGTATTAAAAAAAAAAAAAAAAAAGTAGAGAAAAAAAGTGTCTTGGCCTTCATTTTCCCACTCTGTCCTTCATCAGTTCTCTAAGTCATGTCCAACTGCAGGGTTTAGGGATTGTCTTTTCCTCCCACAGGAGAATAATGGAGACAGGAAGGGGGAAGTACAGTCAATTTGGATGACAACTTTTTTTCCGAAATATAAAGTCATAAATTACAAAAATGAATTGCTAGACATTAACTGCAGTTCTGGGTAGTTGCCTGACTGAAATGTTAATGATGTCAACTTTGCTTTCTTGTTATCTGACACATTATATTAGCAAAACTTTGAGAATGACATGTTTTTCTTGGTTGTTTGATCCAGATCATTTTAATGTTTGCTACACGGCTCTATTTTTAATTTAAAATTCTGTCCCCCATTCAATCATATATTAAGCAAAATCTGTGTCAGAGATTGGCGTTTATTTTGGATCTCTCCCCACCTTAAACTGATTTATTCTATTTCATTTATGATTCAGACTGGCTTGAGGTAAAATATTGTCTAAGCACCATCAATGTGGCTGTAATTCTTCTGAGAAAAAAGGATTGAAAAAGTCTATTAAAGTTAAGACATTATATAAGGAACTTTCTCCACAAATTCTAAAGACTATTTAAAAACAATATCCTGCAAAAATCTTCCTTGTAATATCTCATTATGTATCATATGTTGCATACTTCCCTAACTTAGAAATACTAAGCTCAAATATTCAAATAATTGTAACTTACTCCAATTTTGTATTTTAGCCAGGTTAATTCAGGTTAACAAGCAAACAGAATAATAAGGGGAGGAGGAGTCAATTCAAATACAGAATTGCACTGAGTGAAAAAAAATCAGCCACACCAATTCTGAGCAAATTAACTACTAAAAGTTATTTTTAAAAAATGGACTGGTAATGGTTTGGTAGAAATAATAGCAGACAAGCGGCATAAGTCCATGCTTTTCAAAAGTTCGCTAGGTAGGTAAAAATATGTTCTTAAAAAAAACAACAACAATTGCCAACAAAATCATTAAAACAAAATCAAAACTCACCCCACAAAGAACCACAGCAGATCTCAGAAGTGAATTCCTTTTCATACATGTGGATTAGTGGTTTTTCACATGCAGACGAAGCATAGAGTGGGTTGACATTGATATCAGAGGGTTGCTTAGGGGGTTCCTCAGGTACTTCCACTAATCCGCCATATGCTGGAAGAAGTAAGAAGTTATTGAGAGAAATTACTAGTCTATCTATATACCATATGTGCTTGGGGGTTTCCACAAATGAGACACAGCCTAGAAAAGTTCCTTTTATTTTACTGTATTTTATTTCCTATTAGAAGTGTCATTTCAGTAACTCCTAAACCATCCATCAGACAGCACAAATCATGATGATTAAAATATACTGCTGAATATGCATGTATTTTAAGTTACTGTGACTAAAATCCAAAAAGAAAAAGAAAATCCAGATGAAGGACTCAATTTCTCAATTGTTTTTCAAATTTAGATACCATAAAGATTTAGTAAGGGGTAGATTTTTTTTTTTAAAGCACGTATCAATCTGATTTTATGTCAGGTGAATATCAGAATGGTTTGATTATTTCCAGAGCATGAACCAGTGGTCAGACACTGTATTTAATATGGGAACAGACAACAACATTTGGAGATTGTTATGAATTGAATTGTGTCCCCCTAAAATATGTGATGAATTCCTGGCTCTTGCACCTGTGGATGTGATCTTGTTTGGAAATATGATTTTTTTTTTCTTTTGCGGTGTTGATGAGGTCATGCCAGTGTAGGGTGGATCCTAAACCTAGTTACTTCTAAGTTATAAAAAGACCAGAATACACACAGGGACACACACACACACACACACACACAGGGGAAGACAGATGCCATGTGAGGATTGTCTAAAAGCCAAGGAACACCAAGGAACCAAGGAACACCTGGAGCTACCAACAAGGAAGGAATCAACATGGCTGAGACCCTGATCTGGACTTCTAGCCCCCAGAAGTGTGAGAAAATAAATGCCTGTTCTTTAAAGTCATCCACTTGTGGTATTTCTGTTATGGCAGCACTAGGTAACAAAGATAGAGATCCTATCAAACACACTCACGGATGGCACTGGCAAAATCACCATTAGCAGCCCTCCCAGAACCTTTGGAAGGAGATGAATGGCTGGCAGAAAAACCTGAATTTGTGGATGATTCCGATACGTCCCTACTGTCATTCTCATCATCAGGTGCTGGGGGTGCAGCGCCTGAGGCAATGGTACTCGAGGCCTCACTTCCACCACTTGGCACCTAAAGGAACAACGAAAATCCATTTTATTAGGAGGTTAATAGTGGGAGAAATAGGCCCGGGGGTCATTTGAAGAAGGGAATGCAAAATTTGTAACATCTCTTACTTTATAGTCTTATAAAATCCACATTTACTAGTAGATCTCAAGAATGTTATCAGAAAGGAGAGAACGAATCTATACTGAGACAATTGATGTTAGAGGAGAAATGCCAAGGAGTTTCATGTCCCCAGCTGTACAATTTGGGGACTTAGTATTTGTGGGAGCCTGGGTGGCACAAGTAGTTTGCAATCAGCTGCTAACTTAAAGATTGGCGGTTTGAACTCACCCAGCGGTTCCACGGAAGATAGGCCTGTAACACATGAGGTCGCCATGACTCGGGGCCAAACCGATGAAAGCCAACAACAACAATATTTGTGGAACTTTTACCATGTACCAGGTACTGTGCTAGGCGTCTTATTTACATATTTATGTGAATCCTTACAACAACAAAGTAAGTATAACTATCTTCATTTTACTAACAAGAAAACTAAAGCTCAGAAAAGTTTAATAATTTATTCAAGGTCATAGAGGAACCAGAGTTTCAAAGCAAAGACTGTTTGATTCTAAAGCTTACACTCAGCTATGCATGTCAGATAGCCACTTTAAAAAAAATAAAAAAAAAAACAACACTCATGTGGGGGTATCAGTTTCATTGCTTTAAGGTACTGTCACAGAACTGGGAGCATACGTAATTTGCCGTGAGGATTTTCATATGGTCAAATTCTAGACTGTGAACATGCTCTTGTGCAAGCTATTCCCTCTGCCCAAAAGGCTGGCCCCTCACCCCTCTCACTTGATGGACAAACTATCCTCCAAGATTGAACTCAAATATCATCCTTGACTTTCCAAGGCAGAATTACACACCCCTTTCCTCTGTGCTTTCAAGTTATTTCAGCCACAGTTTCATTATAACACTTACCACACTGTAGATTAGTTGTTTACTTGCATTTCTGCCACATTAGATTGTGAACTCTTAAAAGGCAGGAACTATGTCTAATACATCCTTGATTATTTCTCTTTACCCACTCATTCAACCTTAGGGCCTAGTCTAGGGCTGGCCCTAATAATTATTGACACAATAATTATGGAAGAAATCAATGAAGGAAGGAAACAAGAAAAAAGGGAGGAAGGGAACTTCCCAGATGGTTTTCAATGGGAAAGCAGTATAAGTGGGAAAGTTATCTACCTGTCTGTCTGTCTAACCATCTAGAGAAGCCCTGGTGGCACAGTGGTTAAGAGCTCAGGCTGCTAACCAAAAGGTCCGCAGTTTGAATCCACCAGCTGCTCCTTGGAAACTCTATGCGGGGGCAGTTCTACTCCGTCCTATAGGGTCGCTATGAGTCAGAGTCAACTCGATGGCAGTGGGTTTGGGTTTTATTGGTATCCATCTAGAGTCCCTGGGTGGTGCAAATGGTTAATGTGCTTGGCTGCTAACCAAAACGTTGGAGGTTCAAACCCACCAGAGGTGCTTCAGAAGAAAAGTCTGGTGGTCTACTTCCGAAAGGTCATGTCGTGAGCACCCTATGGCGCACAGTTCTAGTCTGTAATACATGGGGCCACCATGAGTTGGAATTGACTCCACAACAACTGGAAAAAATCTATTTATCTATCTATCTGCTTGTTTGTCTACCTATCTATCTATCTAATTCAAGGCATTAAAACGTAAGTGTTATAGCACCCAGGATATCTCCAGTTATCATAAGGAGTATTTTTGAAATTTACAGAATATGGATCTTCCTTTCATTTTAATTTTAAAAAGTACATGCCACCATACAGCACTTTTGTTGTTGGAAAGGTCATAAAACCTGTCTATGACAGGGCAGCACATCTCTCTCTATGCCAAGAATTACTATTTAGACACACAGAAGAGCTTATCAACAGATAGGCTGTTAGTTGGTATGTTTTTCTACAGGTTATAGCAACCCACATAAATTCTGTCACATTTTGTGTCTCTTATTCCTGAGTTTCTTCTCTGTAAGTTAGTGTAAGCAGGCTATATATTTCAGTGAAGCACGTTTAAAGCTTTGTGGTAGAAGGTTAGTATCTGTTTGGAATGGCTAGAAATGCTAGATATCACAAGAAGAAACACATTCACGATGAGATGAGTTCACTCTCTTTTTTCAATGCTGCATTACCTCCTGTTGATGTTCCAAATCCTGGGACGCTGGTCTCTCCAATCCTGGAACATCTGCCTCTGAGCAATTTTCTCCTCCACTGAATTGATGGGCTCCACTCTCTTCATTGGTTCCACTGACTCCTTCACCTCCACTTCCTTCCTTGCCTCCTCTTCTTCCACTGCTTTCATGGTCTCCAATAGCTGCCCTCTCTTCTTGGCTTCTACTGGTTTTATGGCTCCTATTGCCTCTGCAGGTTCCTCCTCTTCCAACACTTCCATCTCTACCATCTTGTTTGCAGCTTCTACCTCTTCCACCTTTTCCATAGCGTGACCTGAAAACAAGCTCCAATTAATGAAAGAAAGCAACCCAACAAAAATACATCTGAAAGTCAGCAAATGAAACAGAATTAGGATGCCTCTTATACATATATACCATGTCCAGGCACGTTTTCGCTCAATGTGAACACTCGAAACTTAGCCTATTGGTATAGCACAGACAAGACAAATGCCTGTATGTCCTGTCAATCTTAAATACTGAATTAACACCATAGCCATCTGAGTGGCAGAAGCAAGAGAACTTGCATTCTTTGTTAGAAATATGTGTTAGGTTAGTAGCAAGAACATGTATTTATTTTTGCTTAAATAAAACAATATTTCATGCATTAGTAACTTCAAAACCACATGAATCATCAAGTCCATATCTTCTGCTCAGGCACAACATGTTTAAATAATTCTTTTTGCAATATATGTAATATATGGTATGTTAATTTTAACATCTGCCTTGATTTTCTTAACATGCGTATTAACTGCTTTGTTATACAGTCTCATTGGCCTATTAGTACCACCAGGAAGTTCAGTAACATAGATCTCACATCTCATAGAGCTATGACAGTGATATAATTAGTTGCTAAGAATGCCAAACTTAACAAAATGTCCCAATGATCTATTTTGCATAAAAGAGACAACATTAAACACATGTGCCTTTGGTAATTTTAAAAGCAAATTCACTTGACAAAGGAATTCCTGATGGATTTTTAAGTTGGCAAAAAAAAAAAGAGCTCTTGTCAATGTCTACGCCAATTAAACAGATAAAGATCATCCTACTACTCATTTAAGTTTATTATATACACATAGATATCTCAACTGTCTGAGAAATGCATAACTGTGGAAATTAAAATTGCTATGTGGAAATTATCTAAAAGCTATCCGCAAGGATCATGCCTATTTACATGTAAATTTTCTTACGATGATAGAGCACTCTAAAATAACCCCTTTTCTATGTTTTCCTCCTTAACAGTTTCTACTGCTGCCCATCAACAAAAAATTGAGGTAACAAGGGAAAAGAGAAGCATTGGAAAGATTAGCCTTTAGTGACTTCTGTTCACTATCCACTTGAACGTTTGATCTCCCTTATTTGACATTTCTAAATGTGATTTAGATTCTGGAGACTCAGGGGGCATGACAACAAGGGAAATGAGCCCTGAACTACCTGATTGGCATCTAACAAATCTAATACAATGGGCAAGAGAAATAATAATTATACGTTTGGACAGACAGCCAAAAATTGAAGCAATTAAATCATTCACTCAAGCGTATTTCAGATTATATACAGGTAAATCAACAAAGAACAGTTTGCATAAAGGTCTTCATTTCTTCCTGGGAGGTACAAATTCTTTGATTAAACACCAGATTTCCCCAATTCATTAAAGAGACATTATTGGATACATGTGCCACATCTAGGAGAGCATCAGTGTGCACAGGAATGTTAATCAATTTTCTCAGAATTTCAGCTATAAAATATTTCTGTTCCAGAACTAGCTGCAGGGATTCTGATTTAATGCAGTGGTTAAGAGCTGGGCTGCTAACCAAAAGGTTGCCAGTTTGAATTCACCAGCCGCTCGCTCCTTGGAAACCCTATGGGTTCTACTCTATCTATTGTCTATAGGGTCGCTATGAGTGAGAACTGTCTCGAAGGCAACAGGTTTGGTTTTGCTTTTTTTAGGGTGGGGCTCAAGCTACAGTACAGTACTTTTTAAAGCTCCCCAGGTGATTCAGATGTGCAGCCAGGATTGAGAACCACTGATACCAAGAATATGAGTTAACTGGGACAAATCTTTTTATTAAAACTGTGGCCAGCAGTGATGGAGACATTAACATTAGACATGATGAGATCTTATTTGCAAGAACTAGTTCCCTGCTCAGGAAATAAGCTTTTACTTTCTTTTTAGACAATGAGCTTTTGTTTACATAGCAGGAATAGCTTTACAAATGAACACAAATGTTTAATATGGCAATGTTGTGAATCTCTAGACCAGTGGCTCTGAAACTTTAATTTATAAGGACGCTCTACTACAGGGTATTTGTAGTGGGGCTAGTATTCTGCGCTTTTAAGAAGCACCCTAGCAGATTCTAATGCAAGTGGCTTTTAGACTAAAACTCTACTATAAAAGAACAAGTCTCATATTCAATGAGAAAATAAATGGAGAACACTATGATTTAGTTATATATACTCTGCACTGTGCATTCATTCCTCTAAGGTTTGATATTCACCACAGTCATAATTGTTTAATGTTTTTGTTAAGCTTTATATCACAATTTATTTATATTTTATATATGTTTTTTTCTTTAGCAAGTTTTTTTTTTTTAAGGTGCTGAGTGATATGTAGTCTATTTTGGCATGTATGCTCCCCCAATAACATTATTTGACAATTTAGCAAAATGATATGTGGGTATTAATATTATAAAAAAAAATTCTCCCACTGTTAATGATTTACCTAAAAATGTAAATATATACTATATACTATACTATAATGTAAATACTAAATAGGAGCCCTGGTGGCATAATGGTTAAGAGCTCAGTTGCTAACCAAAAGGTCGGCAGTTCAAATTCACCAGCCGCTCCTTGGAAACCCTATGGGGAAGTTCTACTCTGTCCTATTGGGTCGTTATGAGTCGGAACCAACTCGACAGCACTTAACAACAACAACAACAAATATTAAATATATATATTATATATAAATATATACTATATTATAATGTAAATACTAAATATATACTATATATAAATACTAAACATATACTATATACTATACTATAATGTAAATACTAAAATGTAAATATATACTACATACTAAGGAAACCATGGTGGCATAGTGGTTAACAGCTATGGCTGCTAACCAAAATGTCAGCAGTCCAAATCCACCAGGCTCTCCTTGGAAACCCTATGGGGCAGTTCTACTCTGTCCTATAGGGTCGCTATGAGTTGCAATTGACTCGAAGGCAACGGGTATACTAACTAATCTTTGATGCAGTTTAAATGGAAACCATGAGCATATGTACATAAGAAAACACTACCTGATTAGAGATGAACAAGGAATTACATAGACAGCAAACAACTGGTGGCATGCTAAAAGCATTATTTCACCAAATATCACTTTGGGCATCTACTCTATACGAAGATAAAAGTGAATGAGTACTGAACTAAGTTACAGCAGTTTCCAGAATTCCAAGAATAACACTACTTTAGTAATTTGCAGCCTGAAAATAACAAGCAGTGAGAGTCAATTTTGCAATTCATTTTTCTCAACAAATTTTATAGAGCTTCTGTTCACAAATACCGGGGCTTCATCTTACAGCTATTAAATAGCACGCTTCATTTGTTACACCATTTCTTATGCCACTGTGCCTTTACACGGTAGGATAATTTATTAATTTTAACAGAAACACCCAGACAGTTTCAATCATAAAGAACCTAACAAATACTTGAATGCGAAAAGAAATATACAAATAACACAAAATGAAGTGTGCTACATTAAAAAACTTAAAATCTCTTATTGAAAATGAAGCCATTTAGTATACGCACGTGCAATTCATTCACCCTCTTGGTAATGAATTTTTAAAGTAAATGAAGTATGCACATAGTTCTGAAAATGTATATAACATGTATGGTACAAGTAATCCAGAAAAACCAACCTTGGCCAGCTAGGATCATCATCATGATTATTGTCTCCTTCATCAACAGCTTCATCGTTGTTGTCATCATCATCATGGTCTTCACAGACATCATTAGCCTGATCAATCTGGTTATCAAAGTCCTCATTTTCGTTTTCATGGTCATAGGTATCTTCATAAGCATCATTAGAATCATCATCATCACCATCAATATTAGCACCAGCCTCATCATAGAGTTCAACATAATCACCATCCTCTTCAGGTGGCTGAATGACAGGTGCAGGAGTCACCCAATCATTCTGGAAGATTTCAGAGAGTGCGTTATAGCCTACCCATTCATTCGTCAAGTATACGGGAGGTGATATTTTTCCTACTTTAAATCCATCCGGTACCTGTGGGCAGAAGAAAGGTTAATGTAGTCTCTAGTAGCCTTTCATTTTCTTCTAGACTGGAAAGTTTCCAAGCTGAAGACATTTTAAAAATATGTTTTCAATTGAAATGAAGATGTTCACTCACTGGAGAGAGCCAACTTTTAGTGAGGATGAGACAGCAAAATCCAAAGCTCAGACTGTGGTTATTAATGGCTTTTCTGAGTCACACCGGGCAAAATTTACTCATTTTGTTTTTCATGACCCCTTCTTGTCTGCTAAAGAGTAGATATTTGATTTTGATGCAGCAGAGTAGAACAGGTGATCTGATGCTCCATAGATGCAATCATTTTTTCCTTTTATTTTATCCCAATATATTGGGATTAACACAAGGCTCTTAAATTGCTACAATAATTTCTCCGCTCTGGTTTTACAGGTCGTAAGATGTCTTAATACATCTCAAACACCTCTGAAGAGCAAATTAATGTAAATCCATATTTTAAATATGGTATGTGTGATATAGCACCTTGGGAGTGCCTGGGTGGTGCAAATGGTTAAGCACTCAGCTACTAACTGAAAGGTTGGCGGTTCGAGTCAACCCAGAGGCACCTTGGAAGAAAAGCCTAGTGATCTACTGTTGAAAAATCAGCCATCGAAAACCCTATGGTGCACAGTTCTATTCTGACACACATGGGGTCGCCATGAGTCAGAGTCAACTTAACAGCAACTGGATGGTTTGATTTTGGTCATATAGCACCCTTAGGCAGTCTGGAAGGGGTGTGCGTAAGGTAGGGTGGGTGTAATTATAAATGTAAACAAAATGACCTGAAAGCATAACTGCAAAAAGAGTTGGAGAAACTTTGTATTTATGCATTCAGATGTCACTTTATTTTTCACTAAGTGTTTTATTTTATACATCGCCTCATCCTTCAAGGAATTATATTAGACAAAAACTGAGCATCTAACCTTGACCCCTTAATTTGAAGTTAGCTTCTACAAATAGCTCTTTATCATTCCTCTCTCAAAAATATTCTGACGCAAGAGTATAAAAATAAAATATTTTCAGATCAATTGTTTTCCCATTTCAAATTTAATTTCTAGACTTCATATTCTGCATGCTAACGTAACAATGGAAATCTGTCTGAAAATGATTAATGAACAAAATTAACTCTAACCTTTCCCTCTTTAAGTGAAGATAAAAATGGAAGTTAAAAAATTTAAAATTAAAAAGAACAGACATAAATGTGTTAAGATGGAAACCTACATGGACGTCAAGCAGCAGCTTCTGATCAATAGTAGAATAAGGTGGTGATGACTGGGACCTCCTCCCGGTCACAGGACTCTCCTCCTCAGAAGAAGATTCTGCAGGATGCCAAAAAAGCATTAGCAACACTGACGAGCACAGCCATTACCTTCATTGTACAGTGTACGGTTCAATCCCCCAGTATTCTCTTTCATATTCTCTTACGATTCCATTCAGAAATGTCGACTGAAAAATTCTCATGAGGAGAGGACCTTACATTCTGTTTGTAGGGGGCAGGATCAAGTTCTATTCCCTCTGTAGACCTACATGGCCGTTCTGTTTTCAGTATTAAGCTTACACTGCTAAATGTTTCTAATTGTGTAAGAAGGGGAGGTAGATAAAGGAAACTGACTGGTACCAGATAGTTCCATTAAAAAAAAAAAAGAGAACGTACAGTATCAAGAATAGGAAGGGCTGGGTAGTGCCACTGGCTTCACATACTAGCCAGCAAAAAAAGGATAAAGCACTGTGCTGGAAGATGATGGATTAGCCAAAAATATCAAGAGAAAAGTTGACTCTACAGCCTTAATTCCCCAGTTTACACTCAATGATATATCCTTAAGTATTTCAATACACTTGGGGAATGCACAATTGAAAAGAGACAAAACTTAAAGCTTTTTATAAAGCTGGGAACCTTTCTACAGCAGCACTGTGCAATAGAAATTTCTATGCTGATGGAAATGATCTGTATTTGCATGGTCCAGTACAGTCGCCACTAGACACGTGGATATTGAGCAGTTAAATGTGTCAAGTGTGACAGAGGAACTGAAATTTTAATAGTCACATATGGCTAGTGGCTATCATATTAGACTGCTCAATTCTATAATGTGAATACTTGCATTCATAATACAAATTTAGCTACTTTGGAAGTCTGGGCTTTTGATATTAAGAATTGTGGTATGGTCCTAAGTAACACCTGGGCTAAAATCCAGCGAGAATGTTTATCAGGCTCAAAAATCAGTAGGTCTTGGTGTGCTTACTTAGAAAAAGCTTTACTAAGGGGACATTCAGGCCCTTGTTTATTGTTTCTATGTGCCTGAATTTTGAAGATAAATACTGCTGCCTCTCTTTTATTAACAGCTTTGGTATACACAGGCAAGGTATAGACACTACAACTCTAAAAAGCATGTATTTGCAAATAGTGTTATCTTTCGAGGATATTACAGTGAACACGTTCCACATTATGTGTCCCCATACTCTGGCACTGCTATATTTTCGCTGTTTACTCTTTTTCTGCAGAAAAGCATTTTCTCCCAAGTCTCTTGGGATAGGATTAGACCAAATAAAAAGTTTGGGTGATTGCTTGAGATTTTGAGATAAATCTGTAGTAAGGTACTCTTATTTCCTGCATGATGAAGCATGAAGCTCATGGGAACCTCCAATGGTCTATGTAACACATATAAAATAATTGAATTTTAGATCTAGAAAGATCCTTAGCTATCATCTGCACAGTTGCTATCCTCGTCTCTCTCTCACTCCTGCTCGTGACTGCTTTGGGGCCTAATGTGGAATTTCCTTCAAAAAATCAAAACTCAATACACACTAACACACATGAATAAACTTTGAGTGTTTGTTTGCCCAGTATTAGTAAAATTAACCCTACTCAATTGAGAAAGAAAAGATTCAGGGCATGGCGAGGCAATTTTAAAATTACTCTACACACAGGCTTCTCTTATTTTTCACAACATAGTATTTCTGAAAGAGGTGATCTTACTATTTAAAAGAATTCTGCCACTATTTGAGTCTCTTAAAAAGAAGCTCTATGAAGTTTTTAAGTTCAGTTCTTTGACTATTTAGATTTAATAAAGTGAGGTACACCTACATATCCTTTTTATTATTAACATTTTAATAAAAATCTGTATGTTACATTTTAACAGATGACTTAGGCACTCAATTGGGCATGCATAACTTACCTGGATTGCTTAAGCGGATAAGGCCAGATTTTATGATCCAAGGCATAACTTTTGCTTTATTTATCCTGATAGTCACAAATCTGTGATTTATTTAAACTCTATCAAAAGCACATGTTAACTGAAAGCACTTGTCTGAAATTCATATTGCAATTTGTGAAGTTACTTTCTATGATTTGATTAGTTTATCATGTATTCTTAGTAAAAACACCAATCTGTAACATTTTAGCCCTGGTGGCACTGTGGTTAAGTGCTATGACTGCTAACCCAAAGGAAAGCAGTTCGAATCCACCAGGCACCTCTTGGAAACCCTATGGGGCAGTTCTACTCTGTCCTATAGGGTTGCTATGAGTCGGAATTGATTCGACTGCAATCGGTTTGTTGGGTATATATCTTATTTTGGAGAGGTGAAATTACAAACTGATAAATAAAACACATGCCCACCACTACTCCATCCAATATTCTAATGGTTGCTTACAAATTTTAATCTGTTGGAGAGGAGTCTGCTAAATTCTCTTCCCAAATTTTTGTTACCTGGTACATAAGCTAATAAAGATGACTCCTCCACCTCCCTAGACACATTCTAACTACTACAAAACTGAAAGAAGAAACTTCAGAAAAACTATTTTCCATTTCTCAAAGGTTTCCACTGACCACCCAACTGCCAAATCCAATGGCCTCCTGGTACTACTCCTACTTGGGCTTCCTTGACACTTTCAGTCCATTCCTTCTTGGAATTCTTCTTTCTTGACCTCTGCACTATAAACATTAGCTCTATGTTTGACTGTTGAAACTTTGTGGTTTGAATCACCTGATGCTGCTGGACAATTCTGAGGATTTGGTGAACTCCTTTGTCTGATGTCAATGGGCTTCTGAGCTTGTTCCAAGAAAGACTGCTGAAGAACACTAACAAAAAGACAGAAAAGCATGTGCCATGTTTTAACATTCAGAAAGAGAAACCAAAACTCAACAAGAAGATCAACACAAAGTTTTGGCTTAAAGATATGGCTATATAGAAATAGAGCTCCAATAATATTTTACAACTTCCATTTTTTGCCTAGTCTCCTATTTTACTTAGAACTGAGAAATAATTTCCAAAATATAAAAGTAAAAAAAAAAAGTTTCCATATAGTAAATGTGTACTTCACATATATTATTTATTCCCAAAAATTTCTATAAATTTTCTTTAAGCTGACAGATAATATTATTATCTGAGCAACAAAACAATAATTATAAGCATATACTATATGTGAGAATTTGAACATGATAAAAAAAGCTAGGATGGATGAATGGATAGATAGGCAAAATAAAATAAATAAACATATTTTCTTTACACGTTAGTTCTTACTATTCAAATTCAGGGAATATTTAGAAAGTTGCTTTTGGATAAGTGCTGCTACATTTTATAGTTGCTTTAGAATTTGTAGTAGGAAGTTTGTTGATTTAGGCCTGGAACAGACAAAAAAATATTTTCTATGGTCTCACATTTCAGGAAAGTCTCACATTTCATTTAAAATAATTTCATAAATTTAGCCATATTTAAAGGCAATGTATTTGCTATCTGTAAATTCAAAAGTCCATTAGTAAAATAGCAATCACTTCTTAGTGTAAAAGTAAGTTTCATTTTTTTTACATATTAGATTGTATTAAAATCATGCCCCATGATATCAAAAATAGTTACTCAAAACAAAACTAATTTATTTCCTTTGTGGTCAGAAGGACCATGCCAACTCATTTATGAGTGTAGATAAAGAGAAAGTTCCCAGTCTTGCTTTCTGATTTCCCAAGATTTCTGAACACCAGTTAAATCTGAGGTATAAATATAAGGGATTAAAAACTAATGAGGTAGGAATATATACACTCCATACTCTCAACTCTCAGCCATCTGACCATACTGTCCAGTACTGCAATACAATAAGAGCTCAATTAATATTTACTGAATGACTGAGTGAATGGTTCTCTCCATTATGGTTGTGGTTGAAGGGAATATGATTTTCAAGGAAAATCTACTTTAAAAGTTGGCTTTCAAACATAACACATTGCACACAACATCTAAAATATGGAACATGATCTTTAAAAATTACTGATCATCATTGATACTACAGTGATAAAAAAATACAGTGACTGGTGTCAGTATTATATATAACATTTTATTATATAATATTTTGAGTTTTAGATTTGATTTTGACTATAGGTCATTTTCAATCTTGCTTTTTCTCTGACATTAGCTTCTGAGGTTAGGGCTCATTTGCGAGAGTACTTTATCGTGTAGTACATGCAAAGATAATCACTTTGAAATTTCACCTGTTTTTTATTCTTTTTATCATCAATTAACAATTTAAAGTATCAAATAATTCATTGTTTTTGTTTTCTTTTATTAAACTGTAGATCTCACCAGATAAATGTGAATTGAAATGACACTGAAATTGTAGTACATCCAAACGTGAAAGGCCTAGTTAATGAATCACTGAAGTTGTGATTTTAAATGTGGACCAATGATGTTAATGATGATGATGTTGTCACTAGCAATTTAGTCTTGATTTCGTTCAGAACTTGGCATCAAAGAAACAACCTCTAGTTTTCCATGTAATGGTAAATTCTTGGTAATTTGAATATACGTACCTTGAAGAGAACTTGACACGGTGTGCACGATCCTGGTTGTAAGACATAGAAGCAGATCCTTCCTGGACCTTAAAGACACAACTCAATACTTCACTAGAATTCTCAATCATAAGTTCTTATGAGTTATTCACTTATAAGAAAATGTATTTCTTCATATACAGATATTTTCTTAAAAAATCCAACTTGTAAAATCTGATTTCATACATAGATCCTACTTTCACAATAACTTGTAGTGTAACATCAGAGCTGCTTAGCCATAATTTCTGATGATATCCTTGCCTCCAATCTCATCATCAGTTATAACATAAAAGAATTTTAATGCAAAAACAAATTTTGGATATCATAGAATCAAATACCCTCATTTTATTGTTGAGGAACCTGTAGCCCAGAGAGAAAATGACTTTTTGAAGGGTTTTTCATAAAGTCAGTGGAAGATCTAGAACCAGAATATTGGTCTCCCAAACTCCTAATTTAAAGATCTTTCCATTTTATCATATTGTTTTTTATATCAAGTCCAAACTTCTCACTCAGAATTCACTTACCTTTTTAAGCTGATGGAGGTGGCACAGTGGTTAAGCATTTAGCTGCTAACTAAAAGGTCGGCAGTTCAAATTCACCAGTTGCTCCTTGGAAACCCTATGGGGCAACTCTATTCTGTCCTCTGGGTTGCTATGAGTTGGAATTGACTCATCGGCAATGGGTTTAGTATTTTTTTTTTAAAGCTAACCCTAGATTTTCAAAAGTTGTAACACACACACATACACATCATTAAAATCTCTCAAGAGTCAGTTTTCTCATCTTTAAGAAAGCACATTTTTTTCACTTTACACTTATTGTCGTGAAGTGTTCCAAATACTTTTTCACTTCCAAATGAATTAATTTGGATCTTACTGATTATTCACTCATCTAATACAGCAACACACTCAAGAGTGAGCTCACATAATTAGCCAGATTCCATCAGTGAGGTAGATTTTTTTTCTGCCAATATTGGTAGCCAGGGCCATGAGAAGTTACTTTGCTTCATTAAGATGTATATCACCAGGTTTCAACACACAATAGTTTTTAACCGATTTAAAAAAAAAAAAAAAAAAAAAAAGGTCATTCTGACATGCAATGAGGCAGTCACATTAGGTTACGGAGAAAGGACATTTCAACCGGCTTCATTTAAAAAAAACTAGCATTTTCATGCTGATAAAATCACTCTATAGTGTCTAGATATATAGTATTTAGAAATTAGTAAGCTACTTTTTTCTCTATAAAGTGACTTATCAAGTCTGACTTTAGCAGACAGGCGAGAAATGAAAAATGTTGTCAATCTTGCACGTTTTGGTAATCAGGGTTTCCAAATATAACCAGATGTTTCGCAATATTCAGAATAAGCATCTGCCTGACTAACTTTTTCCACTTTCAATTCAGGTGGCTGGTATCACATTAGCCCAGCCTAGGCCTCCTGGTTCATGAAGGGTTGATCTCAGAAAGTTTATTGATTCCTGTAAACCAGAGGTCAAAATTATGCACAAAAGGTAACAGCCAAAAATAAGAAAGACAATGCTTATAATGAGCTGGCAATATTTGGTATGAAAAATGGGGAGAAAAAATGATTAGTAAGAATAGCATATACTAGGCAAATGATGTATTCCAAACGAGTCAGACATAGCATATTATATTTCCTGCTTAACGTGTCATAATTAAGGTAAAAATTATTAGCTGAGAGTTTAAGAGTAAACTCATCATTTAATAAAGCAGAGAGGGAGACACATTGCCCCTGCTAACTAAATAATAAGATCATGCTTATATTCCTTTTGCCAGTGGTTAGTATTTATAAAGGAATATACTTTGTTATTTATTTCAGAGGACTATTTGTATGAGGGGGAACATATTTAAAAAGGAGAATCGTCCGGGAAAGACTTCATAGTAGACTCCTGTGAAGCATTCACAAAGAAGTAATGTAGTTATCTGGGGCCCTTGTGCTGATTAGGAACAACAACGAAGTCATGACTCAACATCGGTAAGGGAATAATTTGAGTCCCTCACACACTCACCTACTCAGTCTTATTGCTGTTAGGTGCTGTCGAGTCGGTTCCGACTCGTAGCGACCCTATGTACAACAGAATGAAACACTGCCCGGTCCTACGCCACCCTCACAATTGTTGTTATGCTTCAGACCATTGTTGCAGTCACTGTGTCAATCCATCTCGTTGAGGGTCTTCCTCTTTTTCGCTGACCCTCTACTTTACCAAGCATGATGTCCTTTTCCAAGGACTGGTCCCTCATGATGACATGTCCAAAGTATGTGAGACAAAGTCTCGCCATCCTTGCTTCTAAGAAGCAATATCTAGTTGTACTTCTTCCAAGATAGATTTGTTCGTTCTTTTGGCAGTCCATGGTATATTCTTCTTTGCCAACACCATAATTCAAAGGCATCAATTCTTCTTCGGTCTTCCTTATTCATTGTCCAGCTTTCGCATGCATATGAGGCTATTGAAAACACCATGGCTTAAGTCAGGTGGACCTTAGTCATTAGAGTGACATCTTTGCTTTTTAAGACTTTAAAGAGGTCTTTTGCAGCAGATTTTCCCAATGCAATGCGTCGTTTAATTTTTTTGACTGCTGCTTCCATGGGTGTCGATGGTGGATCCAAGTAAAATGAAATCCTTGACAACTTCAATCTTTTCTCCATTTATCATGATGTTGCTTATTGGTCCAGTTGTGAGGATTTTTGTTTTCTTTTTGTTGAGGTGTAGTCCATACTGAAGGCTGTGGTCTTTGATCTTCATCATTAAATGCTTCAAGTCCTCTTCACTGTCAGGAAGCAAGGTTGTGTCATCTGCATAATGCAGGCTGTTAATGAGTCTTCCTCCAATCCTGATGCCCCATTCTTCTTCATATAATACAGCTTCTCAGATTATTTGCTCAGCATACAGACTGAATAAGTACGGTGAAAGGATACAACCCTGACACACACCTTTCCTGATTTTAAACCACCCAGTATCCCTTTGTCCTGTTCGAATGACTGCCTCTTGATTTATGTACAGATTCCTCATGAGCACAATTAAGTATTCTGGAATTCCCATTCTTCGAAATGTTATCCATAATTTGTTATCGTCCACACAGTCAAATGCCTTTGCATAGTCAATAAAACACAGGTGAACATCTTTCTGGAATTCTCTGATTTCAGTGAAGATCAATCTGTCATCGGCAATGATATCCCTCGTTCCATGTCCTCTTCTGAATCAGACCTGAATTTCTTGCAGTTTCCTGTCGATGTACTGCTGCAGCCGCTTTTGAATGATCTTCAGCAAAATTTTACTTGCGTGTGATATTTACGATTATTGTTCGATGATTTCCACATTTGGTTGGATCACCTTTCTTCGGAATGGGCATAAATATGGATCTCTTCCAGTCGATGGCCATGTAGCTGTCTTCCAAATTTCTTGGCATAGAGGAATGGGGACTTCCAGTGCTGCATCCGTTTGTTGAAACATCTCAATTGGTATTCCGTCAATTCCTGAAGCCTTGTTTTCCGCCTATGCCTTCAGTGTAGCTTGGACCTCTTCCTTCAGTACCATCAGTTCCTTATCATATGCTACCTCCTGAAATGGTTGAATGTTGACCAATTCTTTTTGGTACAGTGACTCTGTGTATTCCTTTCATCTTCTTTTGATGCTTCCTGTGCCATTTAATATTTTCCCCGTAGAATCCTTCAATATTGCAACTTGAGGCTTGAATTTTTTTATTCAGTTCTTTCAGCTTCAGAAATACCGAGCTTGTTTCTCCTTTTTGGTTTTCTAACACCAGGTCTTTGCATGTTTAATTATAATACTTTGTCTTCTCGAGCCACCCTTTGAAATATTCTTTTCAGTTCTTTTACTTCATCATTTCTTCCATTTGCTTTAGGCACTCGACGTTCAAGAGCAAGTTTCAGAGTTTCTTCTGACATCCATTTTGGTCTTTTCTTTCATTCCTGTCTTTTTAATAATCTCTTACTTTCTTCATATATGATGTCCTTGATGTCGTTTCACAACTCGTCTGGTCCTTGGTCATTAGTGTTCAATGCCTCAAATCTATTCTTGAGATGGTCTCTAAATTCAGGTGGGATATACTCAAGGTCATACTTTGGCTCTCGGAGACTTGTTCTAATTTTCTTCAGCTTCAACTCAAAAGTGTGTATGAGCAATTGATGGTCTGTTCCACAGTCAGCCCCTGGCCTCGTTCTGACTGATGATATTGAGCTTTTCCATCATCTCTTTCCACAGATGTAGTCGATTTGATTCCTGTGTATTCCATCTGGTGAGGTCGCCACTGATGTTGTTGAAAAAAATGTATTTATAATGAAGAATCGTTGGTCTTGCAAAATTCTATCATGCAATCTCTAGCACTAAGGCCATATTTTCCAACTACTGATCCTTCTTCTTTGTTTCCAACTTTCATATTCTAATCACCAGTAATTATCAATGCATCCTGACTGCATGTTCGATCAATTTCAGACTGCAGAAGTCAGTAAAAATCTTCAACTTCTTCATCTTTGGCCTTAGTGGTAGGTGCGTAAATTTGCATAATAGTCATATTAACTAGTCTTCCTTGTAGACATATGGATATTATCCTATCACTGGTAGCACTGTACTTTAGGATAGATGTTGAAATGTTCTTTTTGACAAGGAATACAATGCCATTCCTCTTCAAGTTGTTATTCCTGGCATAGTAGACCATAATGATTGTCCAATTCAAAATGACCAATACCAGTCCGTTTCAGGTATCTAATGCCTAGGATAGTGATGTTTAAGCATTCCATTTCATTTCTGACAATTTCCAGTTTTCCTAGATTCATACTTCGTACATTCCACATTCCGATTATTAATGCATGTTGCAGCTGTTTCTTCTGATTTTGAGTAGTGCCACATCAGCAAATGAAGGTCCTGAAAGCTTGACTCCATCCACGTCATTCAGGTTTACTCTACCTTAGGCAGCTCTTCCCTAGTCATCTTTTGAGTGCCTTCCAACCTGAGGGGCTCATCTTCCAGCACTATATCTGACAATGTTCCACTGCTATTCATAAGGTTTTCACTGGCTAATTTTCAGAAGTAGTCCGCCGGGTCCTCCTTAGTCTGTCTTAGTCTGGAAGCTCAGCTGAAACCTGTCTGCCATGGGTGACCTTGCTGGTATTTGAATACCGATGGCATAGTTTCCAGCATCACAGCAATATGCAAGCCCCCACAGTGCAACAAACTGACAGATGTATGAGGGTACTCAGCCTTAGTGACCAAGAATTTTTAAGATGGCTGTCTGTTAAGAATATTGGCTATGATGATGCTACCTTGTCCACACAAGAATTGAACCTACAACTCTGGCCTCACCAATACCACATGCAAACTAACATTTATGATATGATTAATGTAGTAATGAAACACAAGTCAGTCAGGACACTAGGACTGACTTGATTGTTCTCATAAATTTAAGAAAATAAACTACAGACTAAATGATTCAGATCATGTCACAAACTGCATCCCAGGACGGAGACAATCAAGGAAAAAGACATGTCCAATTGTATTACAGGTTGAAGTATCCACTTTTTTGAATGGACAGCATTTTTTTTTGAAGAATGACTGAAAAACTATGGTCATTCAGACTTTACTGTTAGCCAAACTCATTGCCTTCGAGCCGATTCCAACTCATAGTGACCTGTAGGACAGAGTAGAACTGCCCTGCAGGGCTTCCAAGGCTGTAATCTTCAGGGAAGCTGACTGCCGCATCTTCATCCCGAGTGGGGGCTGGTGGATTCAAACTGCTGACCTTTCGGTTAGCAGCTGAGCGCTTAACCACTCTGCCACCAGGGCTTCTTTAGTATTAGCAGACATGTTGTTTAAAATGAATGAAAAAAGCCTATCAATTCAATGAAAAACAACTGATGGTATTTATTAGCAATGATAAAATTTGCGATTTCACATGAAAATTAAAAGTCTGAAACTTCTATCTCCCACCCTGCACTTAAGAGCTTCCCAGTATTAGTATCTGCCACCACATACTTGATAGCTTCCCAATACTCAATAACTTTCATGATGAAATTAATGTTCATATTAACAAATGTGATTTTTTGATATTGTATATTAAAAATGCGTAAACATTTGGAAGATTTGCATACACAGTGAACTGCTATTTTCCAACTGACCAATGCATGATGTTACAAAATCATGCATGAGCAAAAGAGCTATTGATAGCACAAGGTAGACCAATGGATTTTAATGTTACTGAGTATACAAAATTTCACTGACGTCATTTTAGATTCTATTTCTCTAGTTTTGGTGTATTATCAAAGAATATCCACAATTATCTAAAAAAGCTATGAAAATTCCTACTTCTCCAACTTCCTATCTGTAAGAAGACAGCTCTTCCACATATCCTTCAACCAAAACAACATATGGCAACAGATTTAATGCAGAAGCGGATACGAGAATCCAGCTGTTTTTCATTAAGCTAAATAGATAAAAGAGATCTGCAAAAATATAAAACAATGTCAATCTTCTCTCTAAATTTTTTTGTTTTGAAAAATATAGTTATTTTTTCATTAAAGTGTGCTATTTATATTAATATATAATGATTTATTATTTTAAACATGAATTAATAAATATTTTAATTTTTTTCTATTTAAATTTATAATATGGTAAATATCGAATCATACAATCCATAGAAACAAAAGCTTTTTGGGTCCTTAAGAATGTATAGCAGTGTAAAGGGATCCTGAGATCAAAATGTTAGAGAACCGAATCCATTGCCATTGAGTCGATTCGGACTCATAACAAACCTATAGGACAGAGTAGAACTACCCGAAAGGGTTTCCAAGGAGCGGCTGGTGGGTTTGAACTGCTGACCTTTTGCTAAGCAGTTCAACACTTAACCACTGTGCCACCAGAGATTCTACAACTAATATCACAGTACCTTGTGTTGAGAAATTTACCTCATTTCCGTTAGGATTTGAAACATACAGTTGCAATGGTTCTATTTGGACTTCAGCTTGAATTGAATGAAATACTTCATCATTGTCTGATGACTCATCTTCCTTGTCCTTTAAAACAAAAAGGAAAACAAACATTTTAATTGCTATTAAAATGCAGATGATAGGAATAACTACTTCATCTGAATATACAACTGAAAAGAGTAATTTCCAAATATTAAAAACTCATTTAAACTGGTGGCTTCTGTAATTTTTAGTTCTGGATCCCCTTCAGAATCTGAGGAATGGTCGTATTTAGCAAGCTGTTATATCACATACTTTGGACATATTATCAAGAGGTATCAGTCCCTGGAGAAGGACATCATGCTTGGTAAAGTAGAGGGTCAGCGAAAAAGAGGAAGACCCTCAACGAGATGGATTGACACAGTGGACTGAAGTATTTCAAAAGACATGACTACCAACAGTAAAGAAAACACATTTTCATTACTCATTTCTGTATCTTCTTGTACCAGAGTAATGAGAATATGCTCTAATACAGAAAGTTCACAAATATTTTAGAATGGTATATAATTCATTTATCCTCTTATTGCCTCTTTAATGTATATTGAATGGATAATTGTGGCTTCTCTCTTTTTATTGTGCTTTCAGTGAAAGTTTACAGAGCAAATTAATTTCTCATTAAACAGTTAAATACACAAATCATTTTGTGACGTTGGTTCCCAACCCTGTGATGTGTCAACACTTTCCCCCTCTCCAACTCTGTTTCCATTCTTCCAGTTTTTTCTCTCTCTTTCTTTTTTTCTTGGTCTGTCTTTCTAATTGTTGCTGTTAGGTGCCGTCGAGTTGGTTCTGACTCATAGCGAACCTGTGTACAACAGAACAAAACACTGCCTGGTCCTGCGCCATCCTCACAATCGTTGTTTAGGAGGTAGCAAAATAAACAAACATTCACAATACTCCCAGGTAAATGGGACAGCGTTTCTGATAGTGACTATATAAATTCAAAGCCACAAATGAAAAAAAAGGAAGACTTCTCCAAGAACATTTAGCCAGTGTTCCATTCTTCTTTCTAAGGGGCTAAATTTCTCATAACTGATTGCACTCTGACATACTCCACAGTCATGTTATCAGTGCTGTGTAGCTTTTTTCTTCCTTTACATCACAAATGTAAACCCCTTTAGCTCTAATTTGTTACTAGGGCTCATCTGAGAATACTCATCAGCATTTTAGATGTCCTACCCTGGCGATCTGGAGCCCTGGTGGCGCAGTGGTTAAGCATTTGGCTGCTAACCAAAAGGTCGGCAGCTCGAATCCACCAGCCTCTCCTTGGAAATTCTATGGGCCAGTTCTACTCTGTCCTATAGGGTCGCTATGAGTCAGAATTGACTCAACGGCAACAGCTTTTACCCTGGTGATCTACTTCCGAAAAATCAGCCACTGAAAATCCCATGGAGCACATTTCTACTCTGACACACATTGGATAACCATGAATCACAATCAAATCAAAGGCAACTGGTTTACTATCAGCCAAATATCACCATTCTAGACTCATACCTCTCCTTCTCTATCTGGTTTTTTCTCTTTGTATCTCCCTCCGTTTCTGGGGTCTAGGTATCCATTTTCCCTTTTGGGCCTTCTCTTGTTCAACATGTTCAACAGATGTGGGAAATAGCGTTTTTCAATTGACTTAATGGACACAAATCAAAAGACTCATCATCCAGACATTCAGACAAGGTCCGTTTGTGATCACTACTACGTTAATTATTATTAAGTAAATGGTTGTGGCTACCAGGGCTTAAGTTAGGATCATCACAATGAGGTAAATGGATGCTGTTAAGAATTAGAAAACAACTCTTCTCCTAACCTTGTCTACCTCATTAATTTGCTTATCAAACCCACAAACCCTTCATTATCAGATCATATTTGGCAAATTAAATTCAACGACTCCAGCCAAATTGTATCTACTTATATTAGAGGATTTTGAAAAAAATGAAGTTTTAGTAACTGTTCCTAAATAAGATAATGAGGGTAACATATCACACCTCGTATTTCCACTGTGCAGAGACCAATTTGTACTTTTTCCCATGTTCTGAGGATTATTGATTAATTATGTAAAATAGGTGGCAAACTAGTGAGACAAGCCCTAAATATGATATCCATATACAGAATGTTTTCAAAACTGCTTTTTCTTCTCATTTTTTACCCTTGATTTAAATATCCTGAAGTACAAAAATGAGTGGAATTTACTTAAATAGTACAGTTAAGTGAACTGTACGGGAAGAAAGAGCAAACAAACTTAGAGATTTAGAGAATGAAACAAAAAAATTGTTTATTTTGTATGAGTTATAAAGTTTTGAATTATGAAAGTAATTTTTAAATAAAAAATATTAATTTTCAAAGTGAGTATGATGCCCCTTTACTGGCTGGTAATAGGTAGAAAACGAATAATTAAAGCTCTATCTCTACAGAGTGGATGGATAATCTAAGCAATTACCTGAAACATTCAAATAAAAATTTTTTTTCTCAAATATAGTCACAATTATCTGGACATTTCAGGACAATTTATTTGAAGCACAAATTATTTAGGTAACCTTCTCTGGAACACAAGGAATGTTTATTTCATTTGGTTTTACAGAAGAACACATGAGTATAAACTAGCACATTTTCTCTGCACATTTAACTCCCAGTAAAATGTCAGAAATTCTTACATTCGCCACTTGTCTCAATTCTTCTTCATGCTGATTAAAGATATCCTCCCATCTGTACTGGTGCCTTCTTCTGTGGCCTTCTAAATCTGAGAGTTCAAACTCTTCAGGTCTCTGTGATAACTTTCCCCGAAACCTCTTTGGTGATAGTCGTTTTGCCAGTGCCTGCCTTAGACTAGACACCTTTGATTTTTTCTTCCGTGCCTGTTCTGGCTGAGAGTAAAACATGTTTGCTGATAGGTTTTCCATTAAGGTTTGCAGTGGACCAAGTGGCTTTGAGTTATGTGAGCCTGGTGCTCGAAGCAAGTCTCTTGATAGTCCCTCTATCAGTGCTTGAACTGAACCAACGACCTGAGGGGGCTCTAGTGCCCAGGCCTGTGCCTGAGCTGACTCGCCAGCTTGCTCCTCTACAGGAATAAGCACCTGAGTATCTAAATGTAGTGGCAACAGCACGTGGTGGTTCTGGGACAGTAGCGGCAAGAACACCTGGGCATGTATTCGTAATGACTCAGGTTCCTCTGCTTCAGTCTCTTCCTGTACAGGCTCAACAGCCTGTTCCTGTACCTCTGGCTGTTCAGGTACTTGGTTCTGCTGTAGCTGCTGTTCGGGTACCTGGTGTTGCCCCTGCTGCAGTTCAGGGGCCTGGCCCTGCCTTTGATGTTGTTCAGGTACCTGATCTTGCCCCTGAAACTCCTCTGGAACCTGGTCCAGATCCTGTGGCTGTTTGGATACCTGGGCCTGGATCTGATCCTGCTGTTCTTTGAGTACCTGGGCCTGTACTTGAATAGGCCTAGGTGCCTTAACCTGAGCCTGTAGTGGCGTGAACACCTGGGCTGCCCTCCGTAGTCCCGGGGGTGCCTTGATCTGCATCTGTAGAGGCCGAGATGCCTTAGCCTTCACCTGAGCCTGTAGTGGCATGAACACGCGAGCTGCCCCATGTAGTCGCTGAGGTGCCTGGGCCTGCCCCTGCAGAGGGCTAGGTGCACTGTCCTGAGCCTGTAGTGGCATGAACACTCTGGCTGCTCCCTGTAGTTGCTGAAGTGCCTGAACTTGTGGCTCTACTTGATCAGGTAACCACCGTGGCTGAGAGGGTTCTCCATGGAGGACTCTAAGTGGTCTGCATCTGCTGCTGGTTGGCAGTCTCAGAAGCTCATGAGTACAAGAAGGTCCTCTAAAATTAAACATACAAATGATTGTCATGCAATTAGAATTTTCAGTGTAATGAAGCCATTCTGGGGAAGTGCTTTTGTTTTAAAAGACGGACATTTTCTGTAACAAAGATATTTTCAGTAAACATTTCTTGAATCATTCCTGTAATGTCTAACATATCATTTGTATCATTAACATACCCAATTATTAATGGAGTCTGATAATATACTTGATCGTTATATTGTCAGATATTAAGGAGCCTTTGAGTAGTAATAAAATATTCTCCTCAACATTTCCACTTAGTATCTTTTGAAAATAGAGACCTGTTATTTGTTGCATCAGAAAGGATTAAGTCTTTCTGAGTCAAATGCAACAGTACAGAATCAACTGCCTCACCTGAATTGCTGTCAATTTATATATGTAATTGGTCTAACGCACCTGAATCTTCTCATGTTGTACTGTTCTTTAATAGCTTCTTCTCTTTCAAAGACCAGAGGTATCCCTTTTTATGAAAGAGAAAAGAAGTAGCACATAAACGATCAGCAGAGACATGCAATCCACCTTAGTCACTGTGTCCTCTTCAGCGCTCAGGACATTGAGTGAATTCACAAGGGCAAAAAAGTTACTCTCCAAATGACACTATGTTGGTGGTGTAAACAATATCCTAGCCCTTAGGCCCACTTTTGCAGCTATTTCATACAGATTAATTTCGCTGGTAGGTTCGAACTGCCGATCTTTTGGTTGGCAGCCGAGCACTTTAACCACTGTGCCACCAGGATTCCTTTCTCTCTGGGCGTAGGAAAGAGAATTTAGCAATCTGATTGCTGCAATTGAGAAGAGAAAGGAGAGGTAAAGGGAGAACGGGACAACAGCAACATTAGAAGGTAGGTAAGCATGGCTTGTAGCTATGGGCCCTGGATGCAAGGACTTTAAGGCTTGGGATTGATCTTTTGTCTTTTCAATGAGAATGTAAAATCTTAAATCTGGGTTTACATTTAACACATTTAAAACATTCTGCTTCTTTCCTGTCAGCTGTGCTGCTACTTCTGAAATATATACACTTATAAACAAAAGAGCTTTCCTTTGGGTTTCCTATATTAAAATGTTTAGGGCAACTATAGTTACATCTTCCATGCAACTTCCATATAAAATGGGACGTTTCCTGCAGGTAACATTCCAGAAACCTTGAAACTCTAGAAATTAGATACTTCTCAAGTAGATGCATGGTCTTCTTGCACCAATTTGGGACTGGCTGGCCTCTGTGATGTTGCTCCAATAAATTATAGACCATGGTTGAACAAATTAATTCCTGCTGCTCCTCACTTCAAACCAGGATACTTACAGTCATGCAGATGGAAGAAGCTCCAGCACAATCAAACTTGCAGCAGATGTGAGGATGCCTGTTATCTTTTTCAGGTTCCCTTTTCTTTACTGGAGACCCTGGTGGTATAGCGGTTAAGAGCTACAGCTGCTTAACCAAAAGGTTGGCAGTTTGAATCCACCAGGCGCCCCTTGGAAACCCTAGGGGGCAGTTCTACACTGTCCTATAGGGTCGCCAGGAGTTGGAATTGACTTGCAGACAACAGGTTTGCTTTGGTTTTTTTTCTTTTTCACTTTCTCACCACTCTCAACCCTGCTTCAGGTCTCCCAAAGTCAATGTGGAACATGCCACATAACCTACATTTTAAGTTAGAACAAACAAATACTTCCTCTGAATTTGGTGAAAACCCTTCCTGCCATTTTTGGTGTTAATAGATGCTTACTTTTATTTGTTTTAGTTACTTTAATTACATCTTTCAGTTGTAGATTGGTATTATAAAATTTGCTTTATATGGTGCACAGACATTACTTCAGAATTAACAGGCAATAAATGGTTAATTGCATATCCTATTTCATTAGGGAGCTCTGGTGGCATAGTGGTTAAGAAGTTGGCTGCTTAACCAAAAGGTTGGCAGTTCAAATCCACCAGTTGCTCCTCGGAAACCCTACGGGGCAGTTCTACTCTGTCCTCTAGGGTCGCTATGAGTCAAACTGACTTGCAGACAAAGGGTTTGGTTTTTGGTATCTCAGCAGTGTTAATTAAAATAGCCAAAAAAGAACAATAAGATATAAACTTTGTTGCCTTTCTATTCATTTTATTTCTTTGCTTAGGAGTTTACTTACAATAAAATTGGCACATTATAAAATTATATTTGAGACTTTCAAGATCTTTGTAAATATGAATACTTCTTGCCAGTTGTAACTGGAAACAATAACTATACATATCTACCTACATACATATATA